TATATATAACACCTGCTTGTAGACAAGCATGGTGCCAACGCCACAACAATAATAGGAGCAGGTGGATTGGGATACAGAACAAAGTGGTAAGAAGGTGAAACAGATAAACACGGGAATATGGTAGATAGCTGAGATATCAAAAAAATTTGTGTTCCACCGTACACTTGATATTTCTTGTGTTGTTTCTTTTTGGGATTTCGATAGGCAGACCGTACAGCATTCGCGCCACTGACTTCCATTCTGGGCCAAACCTCCCAACGTTTCTAACCAACGATAATCCTCATCCCTTGGGCCCCAACCTGGCGGGCTACACCAACCGAAACCAGCTTCTTCATGCCTCTACGCCATGTCATGGTCTGACCGCCGCGCCTTGCCCGGAACGTGCCAAAAAAGCACGGAAAGGTAGTCGATAGACAGACATATGCAATACGTGAGCGTAACGGAAGAAATCGTTCTACACCGCCTCCGATGGCTCGGTCGTAACATAACACTCACAAAAAATCTTCAAAAACTATACAGTAAAACTACAAGAAAACTCCCTTCATTTATACATTCGTTCCCCTTGTTGTCTGTTTTCCCCATTTTCATCTATTCTTTCTGTACCCTTCCATAGCGTCATTATCACTGCTTTGGATTGGCACCATGCTTAGTCTCAAGCCGGTGTAAAATATATAGTATATACATGACCAAGCCATCGGAGGCGGTGTAAAGCGACCACTTCTCTTAGAGAACGACTATCCCCACCCAGCACACGACGAAGAACCTCGTCATTAGTCACCCGGTGTTCCCACCAGACACGAGCAATTCTTCGGAGACATCGGTGGTCGAATACAGAAAGTACTGCTGGGTGCTATCTTTTGTACACATGATAAGTGGTTTGTTTTCTGAACAGCTCCATTTAAACCAAATGTTACAGAATGTCATTATTTATATTAGACGATGACAATAAAATCACTGTGTTCAACCTTCTTCGCTCAACATCAGCTGGGCTTTCTTTTCTCATTGAATTACAGATATACAATATCCTGAAAGCCAGCGACCTTCTGGACCACTATCCGTTGTTTGTTGCCGTACATCGAATGTGTCAAGGTCAACTGAATCCGGATCGTTTTATCGACTGTCTACGCACGCATCCGGTGCACGGATGAGGTTGTTTGGCAGAGATGCAATGAGTTTCAGAGCTAACCAATCCATTCATCTGCACGCTCCCGCAACAAATGGGCCTTATCCTGTGATTTGTTTGTCCTATTTCCATAGTGCCATCAGACTAGACAGTTCTCACTCTGTGTATGTTTAACAAGTTTTGTGCATATGTGAAACTATTCAAATACATCACTTATGTCTTGTAAGCGCGTCCGAATAGTTATTCTAAACCGAGGTATACCTCTTGAAGGTGATCGTAGCGCCAGACCGGTTTCCTTGTTTATTTGAGCGGAGCGCCACCATGCATCTTTTCCGTTGAGGGGACTAAGTGAGAACGCACTCGGTCAGAGAATATTGCAATTATGGGGTGTGGTTTACGTGAGGACATTATCGGGCATAGCGACAAAATAGCATTATCACACATTGACACAGCAAATATCACAAACATAAGCTGGATGGGCACATACAGATGACTAGGAAGCCGGGATGGGAAGAAAGACATTCAAAATAGAATGAAGATATGGTAAACATCTTTGGTGGGGACAACAAATGGCAATGCTAGAGAGGAAGGAAAGACAGCACACATGTATTTCTAATGAGTTACATCACGAAAAAGTCCTTTATGGAGGGCTGGCCACATTTCATTGATAAATCAGGACCTTTCTGACTCCGACTCATCTTGCTTCCTGGACCCTTCTTGGTCGGCTCCGATTTTCGTTTCTTAACACCACCTGATGTGAGTGATTTGGAGCTGGGTTTTGCGGCAGCTGAAAATCAACCAAACGTGGTTCGTTATGGATGCATATGTGAACTATATAAACATTGAACACATTTACTATGGTTTAAATTTAGTTCCTATGGGGAGGAGAGATTGGAAATGTTCATAGGCAGTGAAAGCTCCGTGGATCCCTTTTAACGTAAATCGTATCTCGGTCTGATTATTCGCAATCTCAGTTGAGTTGAGCAAAACGTAAGCACCTCATTGTACGGGANGATACGTATAACCATTCGCATACAAAACTCAGTGTCAGTGAAGAATGTTTGGCGAGTAGCCATCCTTGTGTTGTGGGACAACCGATAGGATTTTGAAGACGTTCGTGTCCGAATAATTCGTACCCGCACGGTTGAGAATGACACCAAGCATGTGCTCGTTGATCAACATACTCGACCAACGCAAACTCATGTTTGGAATGTGCGATAGATTCCACCCCCACCCTCAAATAAGCCACCTGCTCGGGGTTTATCAAACTGCTTAATCACTCCACTCTAGCAGAAAAAAACAACGCCAAAGAAGATTGTGGGTAGCATTTCTTTGGTGCTTGTTTTAAGAAACGCACTCCACGAGAACATATTTCGGGGGTGGGGAAGGGAGAAATAAACTAGTCTAAGGCTTTTTGAAGGCAACCTTACATTTTAAATCATTTAATCAATAAGTATAGAAACTTGAAACATCCGGATTAAAATTTTCAAAAATTAACGTTCAATTATGTTATCCGTTAGAAATGCACCCGAAACTGAAAACCTTTCAATCATATCAGAGTTAGCCCCACTCCATTCAGCCTGTCGATCTCCGGAAACACTGCAGTAATAGGTAAGTAAGTAAACTTAATTGCCGACATGAATTCACAGTCGTATAAGTTAGCTTCACTGAACACCAGCACACCAAGGTATTTCACCTACATTTCAATATGGTCATCAACAGCATTTAAATGTAGAGGTATGAAAAATCAACGAACAGGTCTCAAAGCTCACTGTCATGGAACAAGGACTTTGACGTTTTTATCGGCGATTTCTTTTGTTTTGTAGGAGTTGTCGAGGTCGATATGACTCTGAAAAATGATGATAGAAGAAGATTACATTTTTACCTCAAATAAATATCTGTCTAACGGCATCGCTGGCATAATTTTAAAGATTGTTCGTAAACAAACTTACGGAGAATAGAGGTCACTTTCTGCTTCGGCCCGACACAGATTCCCTTCAGTCGTCCATGACGGCATGGAACAAGCATAAATCTCATCAATATTCGGACCGGCTTTTCGAGTGCCCACTCGCTTGATCGGAGGCGGAGAGCAGTTGCAGTCTGCCCAGTCCAAATTGGTCTGATAGCGCGAGAAAACCGGACGCTCTGGCTGCAAGTGAAATTCGACAACAGAGATAGAGAGGTGTCCAAACTCAACGCATGCTTTCATCCGGAAGGAAGAAGCAATAGCAGTCGCGTTATACTTTCGTGATGGGCGTGCCGCGGGAATTGGCAAAGTTTCGCTTTTGAGAGAAAGGCAACCGAAATCGAAAAAATGTACCACACTAGCGAGTTCATCGTTCTTGACCGTGGGAATGTGACATCAAGCAGTTCAGACGAACCGTTGATTGAATTCCCCGCGTGCTACTTTGAATTTTCGTCCTCGATGTGAATAAGTGCAGTGTTACTCAGTCCGTCATTCTACCCGTAGCATAACACTGATCCGCAAATAAACAAAGGTAAAGCTTGCCTACAAAAACATAGGATTCTGTCTTCGCACTCAGTTTGGGGGCGATCTTTTGGGATGTTAAAGATAATTGTTTGCCAGAGTATCTGGTTGGTGGTGCAGTGGTTTAGTCGTTATCACTGGGGTGCTGTGACCCGAGGTTCGAGCCCCGCCACCCAACTTCGGTGGTGGGCAGCTTTGCTGTCGTCCGGTTCGATATCACGCCTATCCTAGAGGGGTCATATATGGTTTAACCCTCCAAATCCTGAGGCTTAGGTCACCGGGTTCCATCACTAAACAGCAGGTCCTCGTGACTATGAGGTTTAGCTCACACTGAAGTGTGTAATAAAAAAATAAAAGAACTGGCATGAACGATGAGAAACCGAACGAAATGCTAAAGGTGCACAATAATCTAAACAGACTGCGATCCCGTAGTCGGTAAAAACGGTAGCGATTCAGGCTCACAGGCTATATGTACCATGCCAGTGAAGTACCTTTTTTGTAGATAAATCGTGGTTCCAAAATTATGCAATGGTGGAAATAACTTTAAGGCAGATGCGCAACCAACCGAAAGTAGGCAGTTCGCGACGGCGCTGGGAGAGACAATGTTAACTTGCTATCACGAGAAGAAATTGGTTACACTGAACAATAAGGTTGCAAAGAGCTTTATATAACTGGTTCGATTTTATGGGAATCCACCAAACCCAAAGAGGATCGAAACCGGTTTCTGTTAAGAAACCAGCGACCTTCTCCTTAGAACTTGGAGCAGTGAGCTACTAAATATCCTTAACAGGGTTGGCACGGTACTGTGGTAGATGACGGTAAAGCCGTCGTACACCAAGGTCCGATGGCGATAGTAAGATTTGAATCACTGACGTTACGTTTCGGAGCAAGTCAGTGATAGAGATCAAAACCGCTTGGGTATCATCATATTTGTCTTTTGTGAGATGGTATTAACCCGCTGGCAATGAAGATGCAGGTTTTAAAGTTAGATGGTGCATTTGGCCTTCCCTCGCCCCTATCCCACGATATCTAATGCTACCATTCTGTGTATTTGTGTAAGCATATATGCTTACATTACAGTTAAAAACGTACACACTTGTGTTTTCGTAATTTTTCCATTTCCTTCTTGATCATGTCACGTAGCGCCCAGCATAGACAGATTTTAGTGCATCCTATATGAAAGTATTTACTCCATTCTTAACACGCAAAGCTGTTTATTTTATCACAAACTACCCAGACCCCCCATGATTCCATCATTCTCCATCGCTTGCGCTGCTAG